GTTTAAGGCTAAACCGTTTTGAAAGTTAAAACGCTCGTGCTATGTAGTTTAAACATTTAAAACCGTTTGAATTGCTGAAACGTTTATAATATGTACATCTGATAAACCGGTTTAAGCAAATAAAACGGTTTTTAAATTCTTAACTACAAAGCGCGAGCGTTTTCACTTTCAAAACGGTTTAGCCTTAAACCGTTTTAACGCCATCATATAAACGTAGTAAATGTTTTGTGTTTGAGCACATGTAACTACTTGGATTTATGAAGTTCTTGTCTTTTGGTACCTATATTTAGTTTGGTGAAGAAAATTCACAGATTTCTATATAGTACTAGTCACTAGATGGCGAACTCCCACCATCAATTGACCAAAATGACCAACATATTATAGAGTTTTAAAATTAAATATAATCAACTGATTACGACTTACATACAATTTCCATCTTACATTTTTACCTCCAACTTCTGATTTCATTATACGCCGGTCATCCCTACCAACCAATATTTAAATTACAATTTCAAATATTTCAGTACCTATTGTCTAGACGTCCAATATTGTCGAATGTCGATTACTGCACTGATTTCAATTAAACTACAATAAATATTAAATACCAAAGTAAAACAATTTTAAACGGATACTATTTGTACTACCTATCTATTGTTTGAGTTGCATACCGCGGACATTTTTTATGGTGAAAATAAATTGATAATAATCGATTGGGGACACTTTGTACGATATAAATAAACCAGGAAATATATTTTACAAGATATGATAAAATTAAATTGCTCAAAACTTTAGATCGCAATCAGTATGAGACATGATTTTGGTGACACAGTACCTACACTCTATATACACAACCCATACACTAAAATACAATATGAATCAAAACCAAACTACTAATCTTAATCCAAATATTTTTAAATATGGATAATGGATATGAATATACTATTTTAAGAATAAATAATTATAATAATAAAATAGTTACAAATACACAATATTACTCGAAATAATTTGCCATACTTTTATTTTTTAAACCTATATAATATCATTATAACTTATAACTTATAAGTTATAACTGACAGTAGATTTTTTTAAAAATTCACGAAGCCTGTAAAATATAACAAGAATTTATTATCATAACTATTATTATTATTTATGTCTGTTAAAGTGTTATCTACATGTGTTTTGTAATAACAAATTATGTGATATGTATAAATTGTTTTCTACCTCAAATAGTTCAACACTTTTCCTAGGTGACCGTACAGCAGAGTGTCCTTCAACCTAAAAAATATGTACAAACTTTTTAATAAAATTTATTTTAATGCCATAATACCTACTTAACTGACAATAAAAAATATACTACTTCTTTGAATAATAATATTGTGATCATGATATATGAAGTTACAAATAAGGGTGATATACTATTTCGAAGGAAACGATTGCGAAAGGACCTTTTCCCTCATATACATTTATATATATATAAAAATGAATTGCTGTTCGTTTGTCTCGCTAAAACTCGAGAACAGCCAGACCGATTTAGTTCAATTGTTTTTTAAGATGTTCGTAATTGTCTGGAGAAGATTGGAACGAAAGAAAATTTAGGAAAATCCACCTAAAAGTAGAAATTTGAATATCAAAAATACAATAGTGGCGACAACTGTCCAGAAAATAATAAACTAAATAATAAAATAATATTCAATTTTAAATTGATAAATTTTGTCAAAATTCGATCTTTAAATGCTTATAATAAAAAATAACCTAACCAGTCGGGGGACTGCCGGTAGAAGTGAAAACTTCTTAACCACGTTGGGCACCCGTAAGAAAGCATTTGCGGTGAGGGAAAAAAGTATGAAATCGCGACACGTCCACCGCCACCGAGAGTACATGTATATATATACTGTTGTTATATACTGTTATACTTAAGTGTGAGCGTGTATGTGTATATTATATACTAGAACAATTTCACTTCGTTTTTAAAAATTTTGTAATGCTTAGGAAATAATGTACCACGAATTGTTTTATTTATCAATATAAAATACTATACATAATTATTTCAGTTATTTTACATAATGCAGGCGGGCGTTGTTGTTTTCCCGTAACTACCGTCTGCTGCGCGCGCAGCTTTGATACACTAATGTATATACCACAGTACATATTATATAATATACTCGCGGTGGCGGTGGCGGTGGCGGTGTCGCGAGATCATACTTTTTTCCTCACTCGCAAATGCTTTCTTATACGGGGTGCCCAACGTGCCTAAAGAAGTTTTCACTTCAAAAATAGTTTCAGATTAAAATAATAATAGTGTACTGACCTATATTGGTTGCTATTGGTTAATCGGGCATGTTTGTTTTATGTCAATATATATATAAATGTATGTTTGTGTGTAGATTAGATCTCTGGGAAGAAGACAGGCTAATTTAAAAATGGTTAAATTGGTTATTTTTTATTCATCTGATATTAGTACTGTTAGGATTTTGTATTAACTGATTATATTAATCCACAATACGACAAACTTGGTATAACTTAAAAAGTTATAGCTAAAAGTTATACCTAACTTAAAGTTAACATTTTGAACACCATACACTGAATATTAAATAACGAATCGAACAAAGTTTGAGTCATATAGATTTGGTACATTTAACGGGTAACGAAGTACGCGGGATCAGCTAGTATAAATATAAATATTATTTAATATTGTCTATGTTTTTCCGTATCACGATTGCGAGCGTCTTTACCTGCCTATTTTCGTGCGGCGTTTCCAGATTTGATGTTAGTCAAGTAATTTTATATATAATAAATGGATTACTATTATGTATTTTTTTCAAACGGTTTTTTTGCTATTACGCTGGGTGATAAGATAGGTAAGTTACTAACATATTTATCTATAATACTTTATCTATACCAGTCAACTGGTGAACATTTATGTATGAAGCATTTAGCATTTAACAAATATATTGAACGACAACATCTTGAGAGAATTGTAAAAGAAAAGCCGACGATAATATTTTCTACCAGGTCATTAAATTATACGAACTGAATAACAATTACAGTTAATTAATTAATTATTTATAAATTAAAGATAATCCGACAGTTATAACTAGGGTTCGGATTTATATGTATTAAAAAACCAAAATATGTAAATATATAATATGTAATAATGAATCACTTTACATGTGATTAAAAATTGAAAATATGGATTACAAAAAAATATAAAAAATTGCTTTATAAATGACATTATTAACTAATTTACTTATTTTACTATACTATTAATCATTATTCATTTGATTCTCTGGTCTTGAAGCAATGAGATACCATAGACATGCTCAAATTTTCAAAGTTAAATGATCTACGATTTGGTCGTAACACAGATTTGTACCGACTGAAGGAGCGCTCGACTTCCACCTAGATAATGGGTGCAAATTTCATATTTGCAATGTCCAAAGCAGTGAGTTCAGCTGGAAATATTACCCCATTAATTTCGCAATTGTACCTCTAATTAATTTTAGGCAGTCCTAAACCAGGACTTTTATGTAATACGCTGTGCATTTTTCTTTTACTGCAACTCCCAAGGGTCCTTGTACTTGTTCTATGCATTTTTCAGCTTCTTCTATAAGTCCTAAACTTTGAACGAAAGTCATTTTTCTTGTTGCTAGTTGTTTTATTGATCTTCTAAAAATCCAAAATTACAGATATATAATTTAAATTATTTTTAATATCATCTAGATTTAATAAATTTTTCGCTTTGGAATAGAAACTTTATAATTTATAACATTACGTAATTTTCACGAAGTTCACTTTGTAACGTAGTTTGTAGTTATAAGTAACATTATTGTATATATTAATTGAATATCGAATATTTTTTTATTTAAAAAGAAATGTTGTAATTGAATCCTAGAACAAAATAAAACATATTTTAAAATTATAAGCTTGGCAACTTAGCCTTAAAAAACGTTCACTATAGTTCGTTTTTCGGCTAAAAACCAAATTCATTGATTAACGATATTATTTCGCAATCGAGTTGTACCCACAAATAAATGTTCCAAAAAGTTGTTCTAGATTTTTCGGAACAGACATTTATATTTAGGTACGAGATACTTAGGTAACACAACATTGTTTTGCTAAATATATAATGAAAGCGCCATTATGTAGTTATAATCTAATCCAGCCAAATTAGGATAATAAATTAGAATCACTCAATTACCTAGCTCAGTGGTTCCCAAACTACGCTCCGTGGAGCACTTGGGGCTCCGCAATGGTTTCCCAAGTGCTCCGTTCGTTAATATTTTTAACTAGTTTTATTCTAATCTTGTAGATTTCAATAATAAACAATATTTTCTCCAGTTCTTTTAAAACTATTGTTTCCTTTATTCATAAATATAATTTTATTTTGTCTCCCTTATGTATACAGTTCGTGTTAATTATGCTTCATAGAACACAGGCAAATGCAAATTGACGTTAAATATTTCTTAGGGCTCCACGAGAAATTTCTCCTTGAAAAAAGGCTCCGAGGCTGAAAAGTTTAACCCATTGTGAATATTTTTTTTTATTATTTTAAATAAATTCTTGCAGGTGACACAACAAATGTGTACATAACTCACAAGTGATAACTACATATAGTAGGGTTATAACCGGGTAATTATTTAAAAGGATCTGTAAATATTTTGGCTTTTAACTGAAATGACTGCATACCTGGTATTATACATAAAATTTACTGTCAAGGAACAATGAACATCATTAATTCCATATTATTATTATTTATTTCAACAATTATTTATACTTAATAAATCTAACTAAAAAGTTAATAAATTCTTGAGAGCAGTATTTTGTTGGTTTTTACCCCGTCTAGATAGGTACCTACTTAAATTTAGTATGACGTTTGAACACGATGATGATAATAATTAATCACAATTTTTAAATTAATTTCAAAGGTTTATGTCAATAAAGAAATGGATGCTTCACAGACTTCATCTTGTGAAAATAATCTAAAGCAAGTTCTGATTCAAATGAGGCGATCAACTAAATTTAGAAATGAATCTCACTCTGTAAGAATACTAGAAGATTTACAATCTCTACGCCAGTATGTTGACAGTGATTTTACCTTCATTCAAAATAAATATCACTTACACATTTTTTGTTTTTAGGAATGAAGTTTTATGTGATGCTAGATTTGAAGCAGATGATGGTAAAATTATTAGTGGGCATAAAAATTGTTTTAATAGCAGCTAGTCCATATTTCCGTGCAATGTTTAGTAATTTTAATGAAAATAATAAAGATCTTATTAATATAAGAGAATTAGATTCCAGCATTTTACAACTATTAGTAGATTATATTTATACCGGCGAAATAATGGTCACAAGTGAAAATGTACAGGTATAATAAAATATTTGAGTTAATATAGACTTCAAACAACATATAATTTTATGTGAATTATTGTTGATTCTAAGGTGTGTTACAAGCTGCAAATGTATTACAATTAGATTATGTAAATGGTGCATGTGCTGAGTTTTTACAAAAACAACTAGATCCTTCGAATTGTCTTGGAATCAAAGCACTAGCTGACTTACATAACTGTTCTGAATTGTGTCAAGAATGAATCATATATTAAACAGCATTTTTTGTATGATGGACATAATTTACTTATCTATATCAATCGGTAATTAATTATAAAAATAATGATTATTATTTTCAGAGAAATGGTTAAAGGATATGATTTCCTATCTTTATCTTTTGAAGAGTTATTGGAGCTTATTTCCTGTAATGATCTTGCTGTTCCATTCGAAGAAAAAGTAAGCAAACTTAACAATAATACATTATGGTTATTTGTGTTTAATATTATTTACGAAAAATCAACTTAAAAAAGATGGGCAAGTGGGTATCGCTCTACTGTACAGTAGGTTACAATAGTGGGTAACTGTATAATGAATGGTATACAATTCGAGTTCAATGATATAATATTATATGAAAAGCGATTCTCAGCGGAACCGGTTTGTCAGTATAGGATATATTATATTATATTTATATTGCTATTATTGTTTACAGTAGGCGGTAAGTTGAATTAATATTATAAATTACATCAAAATAACTAAAATCGGTTATTTAATATGTATAATTTCGTCGAAATTTGATCATAAACAACAATAAAAAAAAACCTTTTTGGTTATAGAATAACCTACTTACGTAGAACTTTGTTTTAAACTGCCAATCCAGTAAACGTTGAACATTTTATACATTTTTAACTACAAAATAATTATTAAATTTTGTCAAAATATGAACTTTAAATGCTTATAAAAAAAATTGTGCCTATGTATTTTTAATTTTTTTTCAACTTCTATTGTAATAATATATCTGGAAATATGAGGAATCTCGCATTACATTTTGAAATCTTAAAAAAAAATGTTTATGAATTTCTATCCCAAAATAATTTGCACATTATTGTGATTTTTACGTATTTTGTAAAGTTTCGAAATTTAAATGCTTATAAATCAGAAACTGCAAATCGTATACCACTCAAAACAAGTCAAAATATTTTTTTAAATTTGATTGTGTATAGAAAATGTTAATATAAACAACCAGTGGAAATTTCATGTATCTACTGTCATTCGTTTTAGAGTTACACCAAAAACAAAAATCTATTAATTTTTTCTTTGAAGACGGCTTAATAAAATTGTATGATATTGTTATTAAAGTAATCTTTTTTACTTTTAGACATTAGTAACTCTGCATTGCTTCAGTAAATTTTATTATTTTTTCAAAAACAACTTTCATTAGAAAACATCATTGTGTGTATACAAAAATGGGTACGTTAATTTAATAGTTTCAACTTTTAAGTAAAAATAATATAAATTATATTTAAATATGTATAATATTAAATAGTATTTTATTTTTAAATTACAACAAAATAACTAAAATCGTTATCATTCAAACTGTTTGACCATACCTTTTACTGAAGATTATAAAAAAAAAAAATTTGAATATCTATAAATAGCTGTAAGTGAGTCAAATTTTTTGATAAATTATATAATAAATAATTGGTGAACATGCTAAGTACCTTTTTAAATTTTTGTTGTAAACTAGGTATAATTGTACAGTACCAATATTACCTAATGAAATAATTGGTTTGATTCTAATTTATCAGTTTATATTAAATAATGAATTTTTCTTGTCAGCCCCGACTGTGACTAAGTGGGTATAACTTGTACCGCCTACAGACCCTGTAGGTATCCGCCTAAAAAATGTTGCAAATGCAGCACACGAACCTTCTAGTTTACGTCTAATGTCTATATTGAAGGGATCGAAACCGTTTCAAATTTTAACGGTTACGGTTTCGGTTTTTGAAAACGGTTTTTTATATTTAATGGTTTTGGTTTAGGTTGTAAGATCGATTTTTCAAATTTTTTGGTTTTGGTTTCGGTTTCATAAAAGGTTTTTCAAATATATCGGTATCAAGAACGGTTTTTGAAAATTTTCGGTTTTGGTTTTTGGAACGATTTTTGATAATGTTTTTTTTCTTTACCGAATAACTGCAGACCCGATTTTTACTATCTGTTTACTATTCAGGACTGAAAACCCTAAAGTATGTCCGATTTCTGTAACTAGTGTAGGTACATACAATATAGCAAATTTATGTTCACCAGAACTAATTTTGTGTTATTAACTTAAATATTCTATACCTACTTTTGCATAGGCCATACAAAATAATATGGTAGAGATCATTATTCGATTAAATTAATATTTAATTGTAATTTACAATAACATCACACTATATTACAGTATAATAAAATTCTTGTTATGTGATTAATGGTTATGATATTTGAACAAAATATTAATTTAAATAGATACCAAAAAAAGAGTATTGGATTATTGAAAATATTGTTATTTAAAAAGGTTTACTGTTAAGATTCAAATATACTTTATAAGATTTGGTATACACATTTCTAATTCAGAGGATTCTGTGGAAAATGATGATGATGGCTGCGGGACGGACGCGGACCAGTCGAATACGAAACAATTTATTGTAATAACATTTAAATAATAATATACACAAATACATAAAATAACAAGAATACAGACGTGCATAGCCGCATATATAGGAGCGAAGAAATAACAATAATTGTTATTTTTTCGCCCCTAAATATACAATTATTGTGATATTTGTATTATAATTTTGAATCAGTGAGTATATTAATAGTATTAAAAAATGTAAACCGAATAATATTCGTATTACCAATTAATATTTCGTAATAATCAGTTATATCATCGGTATTCAAACAAAATATTTTCTTCGCATAAAAATACTCATTTTAACTAGAATTATAAATAATATAGGTAGGTAATTAACTTTATAAAATTCGAAGAAACCGATATTAGTTTTAAATTTCAATCGGTTTCAAGAACGGTTTTTCAATATTGATGGTTTCGGTTTAGATTTTTTAAACAGTTTTTTATGACAATTACTGTTTATTAACCGGTATTTTAAAGCTTTTGGTTTCGGTTATGGCGTTGAAATATGAAAAACAGCGGTTTTAACCTGTTTTTCAGAAAACCAGTTACACCGGTTTCGATCCCTACAGTATATTGTGTGTATTTATAAATAACAAATAATATATAATAAAACCACCTGCCACCTGTAAAGCTTTAACATTTAAAAAAAATATTTTAGTATTAATAATATGTATATCGAAAGTTATCAAATCATTGAAACTAATAAAAATAGATTGAATACCATAAAAATATAATAAATATTCGTTTGCTTGCTATAAAAAGAAGGAATCCATATCTTGAAGATGTATTATATACTTATATGTATGGGACCCTGTAATAATCATACACTAATGGATGATTTAGCAAATTTTTACCTGTATTTTAATTGAATTTTAAATATTTTGTTATTGTAGGTATTTGAATGTGTTATTAAATGGGTGAAACATGATTTAGATCAAAGAAAAGATTTGTTGTCAGAATTAATGGAACATGTACGTTTGCCCCTATTAAGACCTGAGATTTTAGATAATATAGCTGAAGAATCTCTTCTAAATAATAGTCCTAAATGTATGTTTATTTTTATTTTTATTAGCTTCCAACCAAAAGTTATAATAGCTCGATAATTAAAATGTTATGTTATTTTCATAAATATGCAATTGTTATGAATTTAAATATTCTATTAACTATTATTGGTAATTACTAATTATGTTTTTAGGTAAAGATTATGTATTTGAAGCTATACGTTTTAATCTAAAAAAATCTTTCCAGCATTTCACCATTCCAACAACAATTAGATATAAACCTAGACAGTTTGGTGGTTCACAAAAAGTAGGATTTCTTTTTAATTAATATTTCTTCATAATTATTTTGTCCATTTTTCAGGTTATTCTATTGTTCAATAAGTCTGATACATTGCCAAAGTGTCGTACACAATGGTATGACCCAACATCCAAGCTACAAAAGAATGGACCAGAGATGAATGATTGTCGACAGACATCTGGTCTAGGTGTAATAAGAGATCAATTTGTGTTTGCTCTGGGAGGCTTAAATATGTCAAGTTCTAAATCTGTTAGTATGGTTGATGTATCTTCACAATCGCCCTCTTGGGTTCCAATGGTCGACATGTTAATTACAAGAACACGATTAGGAGTTGGTGTATTAGATGATCGCATATATGCTGTAAGTTATATCAATATATTACTTATTTTATATTATAAATATATATTATTTTGTAATTCTAGGTTGGCGGTTATGACGGCACCAGAGGATTAAATAGTGTAGAGGTATTTGATGTCAGTACACAAAAATGGAGAATGGTAACTAGTATGACTTCTAACAAATGGGATTTGGGCGTTGGTGTACTCAACAATCGTTTATACGCGGTGAATAATTATTTTATTTCTTTATTTTTAATTTGTAATACATTTTATTTAATTACCTAAACTGTGTAGATTGGAGGTGGTGATAAAAATGTTACGAACTCTGTTGAATATTATGATCCCACACTTGACTCATGGACACCAGTTTCAAATATGTCTACAAATCGTCAAGGCGCTGGTGTAGGGGTCTTGGACGGTGTTCTTTATGCTATTGGCGGCTATACTGGATCAGCTAATCTTAAAAGTGTTGAGGCTTATAGACCAAGTGAAGGGGTTTGGTCTCCTATTGTTGATATGCATATGTCCAGGAAGAACCCTGGTGAATGAAATTATTATTTTATTTTAGGATTAACTTTAAAAATATTTTGGATTTAAATTTCAAAACATTTTATATAGGAGTAATAGCATTGGATGGTTTATTGTATGTTTTTGGCGGAGAAAGAGAATCTATTCTTCATACTGTAGAAATGTACGACCCCCGCTCCAATACTTGGACCATGGAGACATTGTCAGAAAATGGCGGGAAATTTTATGGAGCAGTAGTCGTTGATAGACCACCACATTGTAATTAATCAGCAATCAGAATGGTCTTATTGTTGGTAGTAATATGAATAAATTTAATATTTATGTAATGAAACCTAATGAAACGTGTTAACATATACGTGTTAATACACTTTTCTTAATGTGAATGTTTGAAAACCCTCATTTTATAATTTAAATTTATTACTTACAAATTAAATAAATAAGCTCTAAAGTTAATTATATTTCAGTATAATCAGCGAAATTTTATGTAATTTACTATTTATATAATATATTTTAGATTCCGCACTGAGTGATGAATTTATTGATTTTTCAATGATTTCTTTTTTTGTGTGTGTTTGTGTACACGATATCTATAAGTATTTACTTCAATTTTCACTTAATATTAATTTTATCATATGATTAGTGTTTCTTTATACATATCGATAAAATTTGACTTATACATAAGTATAAAATAGCTACTTCAAGACCATGTTTTCAAGTTCTTACTATTTGTTTGTACTCCTTAAGGACTGTCCTGTGGCGATACGAAATTTTTTTTTTCAATTGGAACTTCTTTTTACTGTAAACGATTTTCTAGAAATTTTTTATATACCTACCACCTAAGTATTTAAATAAAAATTCTAATAAATAGTTTCTAAGTTGTTAAAATGTTTATACAAAGCATAATATTATAATCCTTAAATTTGGTTTGCATAAAAAATCAACTTATATTATTTATTTATTTATGTTGTATATCAACGGGTATATACCCTTTTACAAATTATATAAAGGAAACATATTAGATAAAAACTAAAAACTAAGTACTATATTATACAATATTGAGTGTATAGAATTTATTTTATTATACTTGGGTAATTTAAAAAAAATATTTATATTGACTACTAGGTAGCAGTGACGTATATAGGGGGGAGGCCCCCTAGGCCAGAGCCCATAGTGAAATTTCTGGTTGAATTAAAGCATTGCATGTATATTTTCACGGTTAAAAGTTTTTCACTATGATTAAGTTAGCCGGTTGATTAAAATCGTTTTTGAGGAATCAATAATTAAATGTTAGATTGTCAGGACTTGCTTTGATAATTTATTGACTTTGATGTTAAATTCATAGTAAGATAACATTAAAATATATAAATGGCACTGTCAATATTTTTTTAAAAAAGAATCAAAAAATTTAATTTTACATAATAATTATAAAACTAAATTGCTCAATTTTTATTTGTCCTGTATAATATGTCATAATTATAACCACCCAGCACCCTAAAAAATGTATAGTTATGGCTATGTTAGTCTTGCCATGCTTAACTAGTGATAACTGATAAATTGGCCCATAGTGAAAATAATTTGTATATACGCCACTGCTAGGTAGTATGGAAAATAGTAACTACTGACATTTTCAAAACACATATAATTAAGCCTCCATCTCTACTTATAGGTTATAACTCAAAATCTATTCGTTCTAACTTTGATTCAGGTAAATCAAAATTTTCAAATGAAATATCTGCTAAATAATTAAAACTGAAAAAGGGTAGTTTCTATTTAAAAACAAAAGTTTGTATAGTCATTCTTTACTGGCTCAGAAAATCTCTAGTGTTCAAAAATATATTATTATTATTATAATATAACATGGAGCTAACTGGATAAAAATATATTGAGTTGTGGCAATTGCAAATTTGCAAATGTTTCGATGTACAAAAAGTTCATTTATTTTTCATATAACATCGCGTAATAATATTATGTACAATTATAGGAAAAAAAAGATTCTTATAGTAAATTAAGCTTAATGTATTTATTCTGCAGCTTGTATAGCTGCATAATATTATCATTAAAGTTGTGAATTGATGCATTAAAAAATGCACTAAAAAAACGTATACCTACCTACGTGATATGCAATATGCATAAAAATCTCAAAATTATTGTGAGTATAATGATTAATGGATACTAAGGAATCATTATCAATTGTATTACAATCTATAGGTATCTAAAAATATAATAATAATAAAAGATATAAATTCACATCAAAGTCATACTAACAGGAAAAAAAAACATTGATTTATGACGAAGTTTTAAAAGGTTCCTAATATTAATAATTCTAATTATTAAATTACTAATTACTCTCCGCTACTCCATCACTCGTTTTTATCCTTGTCTAGCCTAACAGTGTTATACCTATATCCTATACGTACCTATAACCTACCTATGCAAGTTACACTTTTTTCTAGGTTTCTCCTAATAATGTTAAAAAGTAGTGAGCAGGTAACTTACTGGGTATTTTATTTTTTTGACCTCCACGCACCCTCTACTACTGAGTATTGAGCCACAATTAGATCCAGTTTGTTTCTAGATATCAAAGTTAATAATTATTGAAGTATTTTTTTTAGCTCCAAAACATGTTTACAGATATACAAAACAAAAAACATCATTATAAAATAAATACATTCATTGCTCCGTTCAAAGTCTAAAATTAATTTGTGAAAACTGTGATAATTGTATACTACCTATCTAACTATTAAAATATATAATAATTATCGACCATGACGTATGAATAAAAGTACTCATAAACCGAATGATGATAAGCAATTGCTAAAAAAAAACAAATAATAAAAAACCATATTCACATTTTACGGACGTTTAGTTTATAAGTATTAAACCCATTTAGCTAACCTACACTAGTACACTGTAGTCTTAATTTTTTATAGTAAATTCTTATAGATATAATTCGATTGCGTTTTTTTTTAAACTATATTTCGAGTACAGATGTATTTCAATTTATCTACGGAGTTCGATTATAAAGGTGTAATACTTTTTGTGTAGCGTTTCGTTTTAGATTTATTTATACTCATAGGTATTATATTATTGTATGTTATGGAGTAAAATTCCTTATTTTTTATTGTTTCGTTATTCGAGATCTCGTGAACAATCATCTTTTGTTTTTCGCATCTTTACGCAGTAAGTACCTAATAATATGTTTATCACCCAAATAAATAATTTTAATAGGTAAATATAAAATCACTCAGTATAATATTATGGCTATATGACATAATCGCCAAAGGCACAAAAATGACCATATCATTTGCGCCAAAATGTGTAAGGCATAAGCGCCAATCTAATATTAATTATTATATATGCGCCAAAATTAATATTAATTCATATAAGTAGTTATTTAAAAATGTAAATCTCATAAAAAATGGTCAACAATTAATATAATAGCAATTAATAAATTATAAAATATATACAATTTTAATTTTAATAAATCGGTTGTATTTTTCGATCTAATCAAAAATTGTCAATTTTAAATTGTTAAAATATAATATACATATAAACAAATATAATTTGAATAAATCGGTTGATTTTTTCGATTTTATTAAAAAATTGTCAATAATAAACTATTAAAATATAATATATTATAGTTCTAAATTTAATATCTGTTATTTAATATCTATTAACAGTGGCACACAGGCATCTAGGATTTTTGAGCTTTTCCAAGATGTGAATTTTTTTTCTCATCTCATTTTGGCACTTATGTCTTCCACCGAATATTATAAATGTTATAACATCGATACCGATGGTCAATCCGGTTTCTCATTGGGGATTGTCTAACACGTCTTGAACTGTACTTAACTAAACTGATATTTGTTGACAAATAGGTTTTATGTAACAATCGGAACCAGTTTCTGAATTCGAATACTGCGATTTTTTAAACCCAGTGAAATCCAAACTTTAATTATAATTGTTTAGAGCCCGAATGCAATTTATTATGCAAACCTGACCTTTTACCGACCTGAGTGCAATTTGACCTTACGTTACACGCAACTTGCAGTGGATAAAAAGCTGCAGTGGCGTAGCCAAGGGGGGGTTTTGGGTGTTTAAACACCCCCCATTGAAATTTTCCCCGCTAATAAATATATTGTTTATATTGTTCGGGACTGCTTGCATGTTTTATTGAAGTGGTCGTGGATTATTTTAGATAAGTTATAAATTTGTCATATTAAATATATTAAATTTGCATATTTTTGCATATTTTAGGAAAAGTGTACATTTGAGCGATTTTTCGCATATTTTGCATTTTTTTAACTTAAATATACATACAATTGTCGGGAAAAATCATATTTGGATAACATTGAAAGATATCTTTAAAAATATTATGTTTGGTTAGGTACAATATAGGCGCTAATTTTGAGATTTGGGGAGGCCGTAGCCTAAGACCATACTATTATAAAATTGAATAAGCTTAAAAAGTTTAAGGTAATGTTTTGGAGGGCTGTTGCTTGTTAAAGTTGTTGGTGGAGCTAGGCTACGGTTGGCCCTATTTTCGCATATGGTACGTAACATAAGTCTATATAATAATATATAAGTCTCTTTATGACAAGACTGTGTTAATACTATAATTGACATCTAGATTCTAGATTGTACGAAGAAATGAAAATAAATGTCAGTAGATACGTGTTCGTTTATTAAGGTGTTCGCATATCGCGTTATTGGTTATTACTTGATTATTAACCTATAGTACCAAAATTGTAGGATGTTTTATGAATTTTTCAAAAATAATATAAAAATGTAGCTGCATATATTTAAGCATATTTTGACTGCATATTTCGATAATTTTTAGTGCAACAAGTCAAAATTGATTTATATTCGTAAACTGTAAGAACTTGGTTTTAATCTATATTTAAACACCCCCCATTTCATAATCCAGGCTACGCCACTGAAAAGCTGTACGCCTCGACGACTATTATAGGTAGTGCATCTCCACATGATTAACCGTACGATTTTTTGGAAAAATCGACATTGATCAAGACGTATAATATTATTATACACAGATACCTGAAATACAATAGTAGTTACAGATAAAAATAAAAATAAAATAAAATTTTAAATCGAAATTCTTTAATGTTATATGTGTTGGAACAAAATATGTTTAAAATGTTACACATTATATGACTAAATGTAAATGAATTGTATATCGTTAATGGCATTTCTTAAATATGTTATAATACATTTTAAAAATATGACTGAAAACGTATATACAGGTTGTAACAGATAGAACTGAGTCTTGGAACAACGTTTGTTCTAAACAATATCTAAAAAAATTTTTGTTATATATATAATTCATAGCCCTTTACACTACACGTGTAATAAAAAAATTAATATTTTTATTTTTTAGTATCGAAAATGCAAAATTTAAAATTTAATTTAATTTATTTGAATAAATTCAAAATAGCCAATTTGTGAATCTGATTATAAGAACGATTTGGATGATAAAAACATTTATCTAAGTCGAGTAGTTTATTTTTTAGAA